AAAGCTGACTCCGAATACCAAATAAATTATGAGCAAAAAATTCGAAAGTCTCACGGTTTATCAAAAATATATATAATATTCGACTATTTTTCATCCCTAAATTGTGGTTTAATATCTCTATCAATAATATGAATCAAATCTTGACATTGTTGTCTAAGTAAGATATGTTGGACCGTTAGTATTCATTCGAAAACATTTGGCGATGATTATATCTTTGCAAACACGCGAATTATATTTGACAAGGCCACGAGCTCAAATGAAAACTATATATGCATTGTAATGTGTTTTCGAAAAAGTCAAAATTTGTACGTCCCTATGATGTCAATGTGAACCATTCCGCTAACAAACAGAATACTATAATAATTTCCATCACAATGTTTGAAATGTCCCCGTCTATATAATGGACACGGTCTAATTAACAAGAATTTTGGTTTTGGTGTAAAATTATATATAAAAAAGTGGCACATATTGTTAGACCCGGTCCATGAACGTTTAATTAATTTTTATTTTATTTAAACGTTCTTTCCATTTCGAATCCACATATTATAATTGTGATTGTTAATGGCTTTTTTTGTCGAATTGTTAGTGGCTATTGCCTATGAATAATGGATATTTTTCAAATACAGCTAGAATGTTTTGAACCATGTTATAGAAGTGGTTTTTTTTTACTTATTTAATTAATTTATATAAAACCAATATGATATATGTTATCAACTATAAATCTTTTTTGAATAAAAACCAACTATCAACTATAAATCTTAATTAGAAGAAAAACTATACCCACAGCTAAACATATGCAATTTAGATTTTACAATTGTTAAAATATACAATGATTGATATAGCCAATCAGATATTGTATCGACCTTAGAAATTACTATATATATATTTTTTAATTGGTTATAGATAAAAGGGTGATTTGAAACAATAACCAAAAAAATATATATATTTGCAATCTAATGAAAATAGCATGATGTGGAGAAATGTGAGCCATTAGATTAGGACCATTTGGTTAGTTAGTGAAATATAATTTTTTTTTAAAGTTATTTTAGCCAATTTCCCTAGAAAAAATGGGATGTATTCATTATAACCTAAAATAAAAAAATGTTATCTAGGTAGATGATATAATTGTTGGGGTCAATTTGCTCAATAACTAAAAAAAAATTAATAATCAACTAAGTAATCAAAATGGCTATATATGGCCAAATAATGACCATTAGATTTAGGGTATTTGGTTAAAATTTTAAAGATAATTTTTTTTTATGGTTATTGATGCCAATTTCCCTAATTGTTGATCTAAATTGTTGAAAATGAGTGGTAATAATTAATGTAGTCAAGGACAACTTTTCTTCTAATTTTCACAACTAGCAGGATTCTTGTATAAATAGCATGTCATGATAAGTAATACTCTGCAAATCCACCTAGGTGTATTTTGCAAATACATATTACATCAAAATCATCTACCTAGTTCTTTTTTTGACATCAAAACCATCTACCTAATTTTTTAAGATGGTAAAGTTAGTTTTTTTCTTGACAACCAAAAATCATCTACCTAAACAAAATAGTACATCCGATCTGAATAAAAACTGTGGGTTCATTTTGGTCTTACCTGTAACAGTAACAGTGTCGTCTTGTCCTCTTTATTTTTCTCCTTAAGGGCCTGTTTTATTTGGTCAAAAAATGAAAGAAATAAAGTGGTTGTTAAATAAAAGGAAACTAAAGGAAATTTTGTTACCCCACTTGTAACGAACGGTTTTTAATTCATTATGCAATATTTTTACTTTTATCATCTAACTAGAATATGATCCGCGCAATGCATAAATTTTTATTTGACGATTTTACTAAATTTAGCGATGAAAATATTGATTTGATTCAAAATAAAATTAATTGCTTCTTTTATTTATAATACATGAAATATTAAGTGATTCTAAATCACTTCGATATCGATGGTTACTATTTGAAAATAATATATTTATTTAAAGCTTTGTTATCTACCAATATTTAACACTTAATAAATTATGTTATCTAAATAACCGATTAAAATTATGTTATCTAAATAANCCGATAAACATTTTGAAGATATATATTATCAATTGTTTTTCCAATCTCTTTTTATAGAAGGGTCTTTTTGTTGAATAACCAAAAAAAAAATTAAAAAGTTAGAAAAAATAGGGTATGTTGCAAAATATAGATCATTGGATTTGGGGGTTTTTTGTTAGTTTTTAAATTATAATTTTTTTTTTTGTAATTTTAGCCAATTATTCCGTAATAGAATGCTTATTTATCATTTTTTCTTCTTTGTGTTCATCTTATGTATTTTTATATTATTCTTTTTTGTCAACAGTTTATTTTAAAACTATATCGATTCGAAAATCATAATCGGAGGAACAATGTTTACATGTAAAACATCATGCGGTTGTCGCTGAGCACTACGTGCCATCGTATCCGTTTTTAAGTTACTAATACGAGGAATGTAGGAAAGAGTGAAAAAAAAAAAGCTTGCTTGACATGCTCCATATCTCCCACATGTATTTTTATATTATTCATCTTTGACAATTGATATTTTTCTTGTGTATTATGATTATTTATTGTTTTTCTTTATCTTTATCGTTCGTGGATTTTTTTTTCATTTACATTTCTTCTTTGAT